GGCGTCGGTGCCGAAGGCGGCGTCGGCGATGCCGGTGGAGGCGATGCCGGTGAAGGTATCGCTGGCGGCGTCGGCGCTGAAGGCGGCGTCGGCGAGGTTGGTGGTGGCACTGCTGGCGGCGAAAGCGACGGTGAGGATGGCGGCGTCGGCGGTGCGAGCGGCGGCGATGGCGACGGTGACGGCGGTGAGGGTGGTAGAAAAGGTGGTGGCGAGAATGGCGGTGGGAACCACGGCTGAGGTGACGCTGGCGGAAACGAAGGTGGCAGAGGCGAAGATGCTGGAGGAGAGGGCGGGGGATACGAGGGCGGCGGATACGCTGGTGGTGGCGGCGAGGATGGCGGAGTAAAGGTTGGCGGAGTGAAGGGCTGAGGGGGCGCGAGCGGAAGCGCCCCGATTGTTGGAGCCAGAGGAGGTCTCGCAGTCGGATCTGCGGGGGGCAGGAGCGGCGGGGCAAAAGCAGACACAGACATGTAATTGTGGATCCAGATGCGGCGGTTTAGCGCTGCTCACAAGGCGCCATGCAACTTCACCCCCGGCCCCGAAATCGCACAGTGACAGTCAGACATGCAACACGGGGTCCCAGGGAAGGTGAGCAAAACCCTTATCGCTGGTCTATTCACACAAAGCACAACCCCCGGGCCCGAAATCGCACGCAAGCACAGTGAGTGACAGTCAGACACGCTTCTCACACAAAAACACAACCCCCACTGTGTGCTCTAAGTGGCTGAAAACTTGATCAATTGTTTTTTGAGCCCCTACGCCTTCGGGACGCGCACCGCGCTACTGCGCCCGGGCCAGGGGTGTAAGGGAACACACTAGGGCACACCAGGGCCGGTCTAGCCGGCCTTATCCCGCCCACAGCCTTCGAAAACGCACAAAAATCGCACCGCCGGAGCCGCGGCGAATCGCTACCGGAGGCCGCGTGTCGCGCCACCGACGGCCGCACGTCGAACCCCCGGCTCCGCGCCGCTGCTCCACCGCGCCGGCCATCCAGCGCGCACCCCCCAAGCTGCTGGTGCCCTCTTAAAAGGCCACAAAGCCTCGAAAGGAGCCGTCGACCGTCACCTAACAGAGGGGTGTCGGCCCCGGGCTCGCCGCTCTTGCGAGCGGTCGGCGGCGTCTAGGGCGGAGCCAGCGGTGGTAGCGGTGGTGCCGGCTTGTGCCGTGACGGAGGGGGTGGCGGCGGGGCGCGGACGGCGGGGTGCGGCGGCCGAGGCTCGAGCGGGGGGGGCGGCAGCGGTGGCACCATCGTCGGCGGAAGTTCGACCTGGCGGGTGAGAGGTGGAGGCGCCGAGGGCGGAACCGCTGCGGAAGCGGCGAGGTTGGAGGCGCAGAGGCCGAGGCGGCACGGGCGGCGGCGCCGACGGCACTGCTGCGCCGGTGCAGCGCCGGGGAGGGCGGCTGAGGTGGCGCGGACGGCGGTGGCGAGAAGGCGGGCGGAAGCTTAGACGGGTGGTGGTGGAGGAGGAGGCGGCAAAATCACGGGCGAAGCGCCGAGGGGGGCGGCGGAGGCGGTGCACCAGCGGTGGGGAGGGTAGCTACGGCGGCGGGGTAGCGGCCAGCATCGCCAGGGGGGGCGGGAGGTGCCGCGGGTGCCGCACGGGCGGCGGCGGCCGTGCCGGTGATGGCGCCTGGGAAAGGGGAGGCGCGGGTCTGAGAGGCGGACGCGCGGGCGGGAGAGGTGAGTGAGAACACGCACGCGGCTGCGGTCGCGTCGCGCCGTGCGGGAGGGGCGCCGGCGCAACCACGGCGGCAGCCGAGGCGGCTCATCGCGCCGTACAGAGGCTCCGGGGAGGCGCGCGGTGCGGCGGCGCACCGGTGGATCGCCGCGGCAAAGTGTAGCCGAGGCGGGGCGGCAAGCGCCCGAGCCGGCCGTTGGGGCGGCGCCGACGCCGCCCAGGATGCCGTGGGCCGATGGTGCGGAGAAGCGGCCGCTCCCCCTCTCGGGGCGGCCGCAAAACCTGTTCAGGAGCAGCACGCCGAGAACGCGCCTGCGGGGGTGAGTCGCAAAATGTGAGATTGCGGGCCCCGCCGCGATTACTTTCTCCCTCCAAAGTGCATGTGCCTTGGGAACGGGGTGCAAGCACACCTCCGCTACTCGGAAGATAGGGTCGTCTGACTCGTTCGCGAGCGAGCGCGGGTAGACGGCGGCGTGCGCAAAGCGACGGCTCGCGCGCGACCGCGGGCTTGCGCGTCGGCCGTGCGCGGGCAGAGGGTGCTGAGGGGCGAGCGGTGGCGGTCGCTCGCCCGGGCAACCCGCGCGCGGGCGGCGCGCCGCAGCGGGGAGCGCCCAGGGGCGCGGCGCGTGCTGGCTGCGAGCGGGCGCTTGACATCGTTTTTGAGGAGAGATAGCCCAAAAATATACCGCCGCATAAAGCACACAGTGGGGCCCAAGACACGAGCACAGACAGTCGAGAAGGGAGAGACAGCGACGACAGTCAGAAGTCAGCACTGCCACTGGGTCTCAGGAAGGCGAATGCGATGACGGCCTCTGTGTGAGCTACTATCGCATTACCTACCTAGGAGCCGATCGACCCGCGTCCGGTGCTCACCGACGGCCGGGCGGGCCACCCGCCCACGAAAGGCGCGCTTCACACCTCTCGTCGGAGAAATTTTGCTGGCTTTTTGTTTTCTGTCTCGCTCTCAAGAAGAAGAGACGTGATTTCTTGTTGGTTTTCTAAAATCTCTCTCGCTCTCCCATCCCTGGCTTGCAACGCGCCGACCGCCGTCCGCGGCACGCGGCACAGGCCACACGCCCATGCACACGCCACAGCCCACAGCCTCACTGAGCACGCCGTCGCCGAGGCCGCAGCCGGGAGACATCTGACATGCACATGGCGCGTTTTGGCAGCCGCCAGCCCGGGGCCCGGCGCCATTTTTGAGCATCGCCGAGGGCCTTATACATTATTATTAAACCTATTAGGCGTTTTGGTGGGCGTCCTCTAGCGTTATAGAGAGCTTTTTCGACTGGTCTCCTGTGAGTGTGACAGCTGGTCCAGCTCTAGCAGGCTCTACCTCTAGCCTCTACCTGTGTGACGCCCACCTTTTAGGTTCTGGCAAGGTGGGCGTCCTCCTGGCGTTGTGTATGTAACTGTAGAAAGATTTAGTTTGGGGCAGCGGCGTCGGAGAACTTTTCGGCGGTCGGTCGTGGAGATCGTGGACGTCGTGGAGTGGCGAGTCACGCTCGTGCGGACAGCACCGATGCCGTCGCCGGACGCGGCGGCGAGGCACACGGGCGCCGGCGTGGCGCGTCGGCAGGCCTACCACGAGCGGATGCGCGACGAGCGCGCTCGGGAAGCGGCCGCGGGCGACGCGGAGCTTCCGCCGGAGGACGACGCGGTCGAGATGGCGAGCGCCGTCCACGTGCTGGACAGCGTGGCGGAGGTGGGCCCGAACTACACCCTGCTGCGCAGCAAGGGGTGCCGGGATGTTTGAAGAATTGCCCGCTCCGCCAGCAAACCGGGGCCACGCGGCGGCCTTGACTCACACACTCAAAAAAAAACACTGAACACCCCACATCACCGTGGAACGTCGGGCAATCAACGAAACCCGATTGAATGACAAAACCAGGCCCCATGCACCAGAGCTGGTATGCCGGGTTGAAGAATTTCACCAGAGCCTGCTCAAAGAAAATTTAGCCTTTCTTTTTTGAACAAGTACCACTAAATTTTTACTACTTAGTATAAAGGCCTTCCCCGGGGAAGGAAAGGGGTTAACAAGTACTAAACTTTTATACCATGGTAGAGGCCTAACACTCGGTCTAAATCGCACTTTTACGGCTGCGCAGCGGCCTCGAAGAGGTTTCAGCGAGTTTTTTAAGCTTTTACGGCCGCAGTGCAACGGCCGCGCCGAGCTGCCGCTGCCGTGGCGAACGAATGACACCATGAACGCTCAGGACGAGCGCGAGGCAGCCACGCGGAAGCTTTGAGAAGACTCCGCTGGAGCTTCAGGGCCTCACGTCCGTCCGTGGACTGTGTCGGGCAATCAACGAAACGTGTCATTCGATTGAATGACAAAAACCAGGGTGCACCAGAGCTGGTATGCCGGGATGTTTGAAGATTTTCACCAGAGCCTGCTCAAAGAAAATTTAAGCCTTTTTTTTTGAACAAGTACATACTAAACTTTTATAGAGGCCTAACACTCGGTCTAAATCGCACTTTTACGGCTGCGCAGCGGCCTCCGGAAGAGGTTTCAGCGAGTTTTTTAAGCTTTTACGGCCGCAGTGCAACGGCCGCGCCGAGCTGCCGCTGCCGTGGCGAACGAATGACACCATGGACGCTCAGGACGAGCGCGAGGCAGCCACAGGTTGGGCATGCGTGTCTCGAGCTCGGCCGACGGTGTGAGGGTTTAGCGAGTTTCTAAGCGCACTTTTACGACTCCTCCCGTCACGATCTGGGTTTAGCGATTTCTCTAATCGGGTATAACAGTTTAAGTTTGTACTTGTAGGCGGCGCTGCCCGGGGATAGGCGGGGGGCATATCGGGCGCACCAGAGCCGCAGAGCCAGAGGTCGGAGGGGCCGCCACGCGCCAGAGGTCGAAGGGGCCACCAGAAGTCGAAGGGGCCACAGAGGCGAGAGGGTTTGTCACACATCAGAGGTCTGTCAGAGGGTCTATCTGGAATCCGGCTACTGATTTTCGTTTTCGTCTTTCACGTTTGGCTTTGGGGTGAAGCGCTGTGCGGCAGCCGGCACTGGCCACTGCTGCAGTGTGCAGTGAGTTCGGTGTTTCGCGCCTGGCAAGTGTAATACATGTACATGTTCAGGCGCTACCGCCTCACCAGGGTAAGATCGAGCGCCACCAATCACCTCCGCTAAGCGTGATTTTGGTGGCGGCTGGCGCTCGATCTTATCGTATGGAGTTTTCCGAATTTCCGTCAGTCGCTACGTACACGACACGGCTAAAGCTGACCAAGATCGCCTGCCGTCTCCTCATGCGTCTCCTGCGACTCTCGTGTGACGCGTACACAAATCCGCAACGTGCTGAGTGCATGCCTGAAGCTGGCGAAACTTGGCCCGTACCGATGAAGAGGAGGCCTCAGGCTGTGCGTGGGCCGTGCTCGAGTGCTTGGTGCTCGTCCGGAAAGTCGACCGCACCGCATTGCTGATGTCTCGTCTCAGGAAGTGGGATACGCGCGCGAGAGAGTCGTTGCGGCGAAAGTCTGCGCTGTAGTCCATGCATATGATGAACGCCGGGTCGAGCTGCTCGAGCTGCGCTACCATCCGCGCGCATGCGCTGGTAAGCCAGTCAAGCCGAGCGTCGCTGAACTCGTAGACCACATACTCGGTAGCGCGGGTGGTCACCACGATGCGCAGGTCGAGCCCGATCGCGGTGCTGGCATTCGCCAACGCGACGACGTCAGGATTGCCATACTCGCTGAGCGGCCCGCACGGGTAGGAGCAGCCAGCAGGGCACGCTAACTGGAACGATGTCGCAGTGCTGAGTGCTGTGACAAAGCTCTGCAGCTGGCTGAGCATCGCCTGCTGCTGCGCAGGTGATGCGCACGACACGTTCCAAGGGATGTTTAGTGGAAAGTGCGGACCCGACACATTACTTGTATGCCACTTTGCAAAATCGCACGCGAGCTGCCGCACCGCTCCCCAGAGGTGATGGCCGGTGTGCTCGAGACCGACATGGAACATCACGCGAAAGAGCTTGCTCCAATGCCGCTTTGGAACCACCGCGGTCTGTCTACACGGCGGCGCCTGCCTGCGAGGCTTGCGACCATGCTCCTCGTGGTGCATTATAACAACAACAACAACAACTTTTGGTGCATTATAATGGTCGTTCATTCATGTCCTCGACCCAGCCCTAGCTTGGGATGTCTGTTTTATTTATTTATTTATTAATGGTCGTTCATGGGCGGCCGGCAAGACTTTGCGACGCTTAAGCTGGAGTCTGTACCCGATTTTTCGGCAGCCCCACTTTTCTGCAGCTCCCCTCTTGCAAACGCCCCTTTCATTTTTTCCGCACAGCGGGTCTGCACTCGCGACAAAACTTTTCTGCAGATCTCGACTTTTCGCCTGCAGAAAACTGGGGGCTGCAGAAAACTGGGGGGAAAAGCGCCAATGGTTCGCTAGGCAAATCTTGGGAGGCTGCAGAAAACTGGGGAGAGAAAGTTTTGCCTAGAGAAAAATCTGCAGAAAAATTGGGTACAGACCCGCCTTTCTCCACGAGTTGGGGAGCTGCAGAAAAGTGGGCTGCCGAAAAATCGGGTACAGACTCCACAGCTTTAATTAAATGTGGAGTGGGCAGACAGACAGACAGACAGTTTATTCGGGACCGGTCCTGCCCCTACGTTCATCGACGTTCTCTCACGCCGCTCCACCAGCGAGCCGACGAAGGCGAAGCTGCGGAAGCGAAAGCGCGAGGATGCCAGGGCGGCGCTCGACGGCTACTCTGTCCTGTCCACCGGATCGCGCCTCGAGATCTTCTGCGACAGTGAGCGGTGGTACCCTGCGACCGTCATGGCGCGGGAGGAGGACGGGGACGGACGGATCGTGCACGAGGTCGAGTACGACGGCTACTCGGGTCGGCGGTGGTGGCACATGCTGGACGACGAGCGGTGGCGCGCCGTCCCAGAGCAGGCAGCGTGCGTGTGGTTGTTAGAGCTGTTTAACATTAACTTTGGGCCTAACAGTTGCGCTAGTGTTGGCTGAAATCCTCAACGTTGTTCAAGTGTTCACCCCAGCCCATGCTGTTACTGTTTGTTATTGTTGTTTACTGTTGTTCAGCGGCCAGCAAGCAGAAAACGGCAAAAGGAACGGGTAAAACCCGAAAATATTTTCGGGTTTTACCCGCACTGGACGCTGGAGATCGTCGTGGGTCACTGGACACTGCCAGGCCTTCCTTATTGTTGTTCAGCCGGCCTAATCGGTTAGCTACTCCTACTGTAGTTGGGGAGCCCCACTGTTGTTCTGTTGTTACTGTTAAAACACAGCAACACTGAGTTAGTTGTCAGTTGTCTGTTCAGTGCGACAGCTCCCAACGTTACGAAAACAGCTGGTTGTACTTGTAGTAAGTTGTAGAGTTTAGAGAGCTTAGAAGAGAGGTCTCCACTGAGCATGGCTGAATGGCTGGTCGCGTCCGCGCGTCCTAGTTGACCTCGAGCGCCCGCCCGCGGTGTCCGCTGAGTGCACACCGCCAGTGCAGCGGGGGGGTCTGAGTAAAATACAGCCGTCAGCGCGAGTTAAAGCGCGGTGCCGCACGTGAGGGCTAAATGGCGTCGCCGCCCACGCCTCCCGGATCGATCTTGTCGGCGAGGTCTAACAGGTGGCCCATCCGCTCCTCCTTGGTCCGGAGGTATTTGATGTTGTTTGGGTTGGGCGCGACGTGCGACGGCACTCGCTCGACGATGCGCAGCCCGAACCTGCGCTCGCGGCGGCGCGGCGTGAGGGGGCGCCGCCACGCTGGGCCCAAACGATCTCTCGAGTCCTCTCAGGTCCTCGCGGGTCCTCGCGGGTCCTCGCGGATCCTCTCAGGTCCTCGCGGGTCCTCGCGGGTCCTCTCGGCTCACCCCGCGAGCCCCGAGAACTTCTTCGGGTTGTTTGACATGAGGCGCATGTCCCGGATGCCGAGGTCGGCCAGGATCTGCGCGCCGGTGCCGTACTCGCGCGAGTCGGCGGGCAAACCGAGCTGCAAGTTTGCGTCGAGCGTGTCCACGCCCTGCTCCTGCAGCGCATACGCGTGCCTGCGACCGGGAGGCACAAGGACGTGTCTCACAGAGGAGATGTCTCGTCTGCCTCCCGTCTGCCTCCCGTCTGCCTCCCGTCTGCCTCCCGTCTGCCTCCCGTCTGCCTCCCGTCTGCCTCTCGTCTCCCTCTCGTCTCCCTCCCGTCTGCCTCTCGTCTCCCTCTCGGCTCCTCTCTCACATCTTTGCCCCGAGGCCGATGCCGCGCCCCTCCTGCCCCCGCAGGTACAGCAAGACACCACAGCCGTCGAGCTCGATCGCCTGCAGCGCCTTCTCGAGCTGCGGCCCGCAATCGCAACGCAGAGACCCAAACACGTCCCCCGTGCAGCACTCCGAGTGCACGCGCACCAGCGGCGCCGTCGCGCCCGCAGGCTGCGACGAGAAGGGCCGCAGGTCGGTGGGGGCGATGCCGGCCCCGCCGCCGGAGCTGCCGACGGTGCGGAAGACGGGTCGGTTCTTGACGAGGGCGATGTGCTCTTGGCCTACGCACAGCGAGCCGCGTGAGGGGGGGCTCGCATCCCCGCGAACCGCTGCGGCGGTGCTGCTGCGCCGTCGACGAGCGACCGGTACGTGTGCGCGATGAACTCGCCGTGCCTGGTTGGCATGGTGACGGGCGGTCCGCACCGCTCTACGAGCTTCTGCTGCTGGCGCTGCCGCGCGACGAGGTCGGCGGTGGACGCGTGCGGCAGCCCCCACCGCGCCGTCGCCTCGCGGAGCGCGGCGAGGCCCGACACGCGCATCGTGGCGTGCAGGCCGAGGGGAGGGAGGCCGGCGAGGCGGGCGAGCTCGACTACGGCCTGCGGGCGGGGAGGCGGGGAGGGGAGGGAGGGCGGGGAGGGGGTCGGGCGGGGGAGGGGGAGGGCCGAAGGGGGGGCGGCGACGAGGGCGTGGCAGGGCGTGGCAGCGGCGGCAGAGCGTAGCAGCGGCGGCAGCGGCGGCAGCGGCGGCAGGGCGTGGCGCGCCTCGGTGCCTCCCGCCCGGCGGAGGACGCCTCCCTCTCTCCCGCGCTGGATGGGGATGGCGCCGGAGCAGGAGAGGTACTGGTGCGAGGCGCCGCCGTCTCCCCTGCTGCTCCTGTTGCCCTCGCCCCCCTCCTCCTCTCCCGCCCTCGCCGCCGCCGCCAGCGCCCTCACCGCCTCCGCCACGTCGTCGCTGCATCCGCGAGGGGGGGCGGGGGCGTGAGGGCGCGCGCGCCGCACGCGCGCGCCGGGGTCGGGAGGAGGCGGGCGGGTGGCGGGGGGCGGGTGGCTGAGGGGCCGCGGCGCCGGGCAGGCCCTCCCCCACCCCCTCGACTCGCCTGTTCCGCGGGTCCCGCCCTCCGCCCGCCGCAGAGACGGAGAGCGCGGGGCGCGAGAGGTTGAAGTTGTCGAGGACGATCTGGTCGAGGCCGCCGGCGACCTGGTCGTAGAGCTGCGGCGCGAGGCCCACCTGCAGGCTCCGCGCGTACTGCAGCGCGAAGTCGATGTGCTCGCTCCGCACGTGCTGCGCAGACATCATCAGGCTGACCTCGGTTGCGTCGTCGTCGTCCTCGGACATGAGGACGAAGCGGCCGTCGCCGAAGGCGTCGACCACATCCTGCAGCGCGTCCGCGCCAAACACGAAGCCGCCCTCCTCGTTTTTGGGAAGCTCCGGCATGCCCGCACCCTCCGTGCGGCGCGGCGGCGCGGTGGCCGTCGAAACCGCGGTGGCGGCGCGCTGAGCGGCTGCAGAGGAGGCCCTGCAGGCGGGCACCCGCCGCGCGCCGCCGACGAGCGACGCGGCGGCGCAGCAGAGCGAGAGCAGCAGCTGGAGTAATCTCGTCGACATCGCGTGTCGGGCTGTGCTCTCGTACGCGGCGGACACCGTCGCTCCACCCTATACGTCCTCGAAGCCTGCAGGGAGAAAGTTTCTCTTTTCCCGAAAAGAATTAGTGAGCCGCGGTTGAGGCCGATTGCCTCAACTGTCAACCACCGTGGTTGACAGAGGCCTCAACCCTCAACCAAACTTGGTTGACGGACCCCTTCAACCCCTCAACCACGCGGAATGGCTGTTCACAGCTTCACACCCCCCGCGCAAAGGTCTGAACACACATTCTCTGATCACGTCCGTCTTCTTTAGACGCCTGGATGCTGCATTTGACGCGCCGTTTTTACGAGAACTTGCTTCAGCTACGTGCTCTCTCTCTCTCTCTGAATGGGAGGTGACAGGTGTGTGTGATGCAAAGCCCGGAGGAGCGCTGACAGCCATCGAAGGCGGGCCCCCGCACGGCGCGGGGGGTCCCGGCCGACGTCATGGTCGTCCGCGGACGCGGCCGTCCGTCTCCGGAGACATTACCGAACTCAAAACTGCTTACCAAAGGCAGATACGAGCTCAGCTCAGTGAGATCTAGCAGCACAAACCCTCAGTATCCAGAATAGTAAAGTCTGAAAAAGTCGGTCCGACCGGCGACCGCGCAGTCCGCAGAGCGGTCTGGCTGTCTGCAGAGCTTCCGTCCGAGCCCTGAGAAATGTCGGAGGCATGTCGGCCCATGTTCGCGATTTTGATGGCGTTTGCCCTTATTGCACGTGAAACAGACCGCGCCGGCCACGCACCCTTGTTCCCGGAGGCCAACTCGAATAGGTTTGAGCAATGGCCGTCTTCCATCTCATGCTCGACACGTCCGCCCGCCATCAAGTTGTTAGTTGAGTGGCAAAATGCAGCAGGAACTTAAGTTGCCTCCAAGGCCGCCCTGCAAGAAAGGCCGCACACTGGTCACTGCTCTCGGTATGTGTTGTTGAGTGATAGCACTGTCTGATCCAACCAGAAAGAGCCGTCGAAGAGCCGTCGAGCTACATGAGACCCAAGCAAGTCGTCGTGATGTACCAGGAATCGAAACTAGCGCCAAAATTGAGATCTCAGGATTGACATTAATTTCTCGCGCCTGCTTTCGCTGCTTGAGGCTCGCCAAACAGATCCTGCGTCTATGGCCGTGTGCAACGTCAAGTCGTTAACCGCGACAAGACCATCGCGCCAACCGCGACTCTGTTGCTTTTATGCGGCAGCATATTCACCGTGACTCTTGCCGTGGATGGTTAGTGACCGCGGTTGCTAACGCAATACTACGCCATGAGCTGAGCTTCACCAGCCGCTTCTCTTCCTTCCCTTGCCTTCTCTTGCCGTCCGTTCTCTGTGCGCATTCCACTGCATGCATGCGGCATCACACGCGTCTTCTGCCGGGCGCGCATCTGAACTCGTACCAGGTAGGCCATCGCTTTGCTGAAAGATCAGACGCCTGAATGGCGACAGTGAGCGTCTCCTACTTATGGATTGCGCTCGAGGTACGAGGAGCGCAAGACCAAGAGCGCGCCGCGCAGGCGAAGCGATTTTTTGGCGGCAGGGCTGTTCCAATTTGGCCTTTATACGCTTTTCTCGCCGAGTACTATCTATATTCTTTTTGCGTATTCTTTCCGTATTCTTGTCCAAAATAGGGTCTATATTCTCGAATATGGCAAGAATACGGCTCCAAATAGGGCCTATATTCTCGAATATTCTTTATATTCCACCCGCTGAAAATCGCTTCGAAAAAGAATATAGAATATGAAGAAAAGCGTATAAAGGCCAAGTTCCAATTTATCTTGTGATCACGCGCGAGCCTGTGAATAGGCCCCGGAGGCCTCAAACCCCAACTAAAGGGTTGACGGGGGGTCTCAACCGTCAACCAGATGGTTGAGGCATGAGGGGGGGGCTCAACCCTCAACCCCGAACCTCCCCTAGGTAGGTAGGTAGAAAGGTGAAGAACAGCCAGGCTCGGACTGGACACCAACGCGGTATGGGTGGACGCGAGACAGATGATAACGTGAAAAGAAGAAAACCCCGTGACGACATCCGCCTCGCGCCAGCACCCCAAAGTGTATCACGTGTGTGTGTGTGTATGTCCTCTACCGCGGAGCTCGCCTACACGCTCGAGGGCGTCGCGCAGGGCATGCGGGAGGACGGTCGGGCGCGGCTCGACCTGCGGCACCTCGCGATCGAGTGCTCGATCTTTGCGCACACGTGCGGCTCGGCGCGCGTGACGCTCGGAAACACCGAGGCGATTGTCGGCGTCGTCGCAGAGCTGTCGGAGCCGGAATCCGACGCGCCGGACGCGGGGAGGATCAGCGTGAGCGTCGGCGCCGCGGGCAACTTGGCGCTGCCCGACTACGGCGGCACCGACGCCGTCACCTTCCTCGAGGCGGCGCTCGCGCCGCTCTACTCGCACAAGGCTCTCGGCCCGGCGCTGCGGCCGCTGTGCATTAGCCGCGGCGCGCAGTGCTGGGAGCTGCGCGTGCACGCGCAGCTGATCTCGTGCGACGGCTGCCCGCTGGACGCGCTCGCCCTCGGCGTGCGCGCCGCGCTGCAGAGCACGCGGGTGCCTCGGATGACGGCGGTCGGGGGCGGCGAGGGCGGGCCGCCGCCCTCCGGCGGCGCGCCGCTCGACCTCGACCTGGACGAGTCGCTCGACGAGTCCCTCCCCTTCGACGCGAGCGGCGTGCCCCTCTTCCTCACCGTCTCCAACCTCGGACCTCACCTGGTCGCCGACTGCTCGGCCGCAGAGCGGCGCGCCGCGGGCAGCGCCCTCTCGCTCGGGCTCAACGCCGCCGGCGAGGTGTGTGCGGTGCGCGGCGGCGGGGGCTGCGGCGTCCACCTGGCGCTGGCGGCGGACATGCTGCAAACCGCCCGGCTGCTCTGCGCGGCGCTGCTCGAGGCGGTGGCCGACGCGACGGCGGCCGCCTTGCGCGACGCCCAGATGCGGGGCCACCCATACGCGGAGTCGGGCGCGTACGGCTTCCTGGCGTGAGCTCTTACGTTTGGCAGTGTACGTTCTCTCCGTCGAGAGCAAGAGCACACATCAACATTGAGCGTACAGAGAGAGCGGTGTGTTCTCCTCCAGCCGGACGCCGCTCGCGCTCCGCGCTCGGCTCGCGCGGTGACCGGTGTAAATAAATAAATAAAAACGGACACCTCTCTACTGTGAGATGGGTAAAAAGGAACAGGCCCCCGCCCTTGCGATCTTTGACTTTGTGCGCAGGGTTCTTGTGGGTGTGGTCGCAGGTCGGCGACTAGCCGGGGTCGTCCTCCCGATGGGGGGCTAGCACTAGCCGTCTTCCACATGGTCCCTCGGGTCCCTGCTGCTCCTAATCGTGACCGGTGTAGCTGTGGGGAGCCAGGTGTTTGTGTGTCAACCACCGTGATACCGTTTCTTAAACACAATATGCACACACGCCGCAGGCAGATTGTGTGTGCAGACGCCGCGCGACCCACACACGCAGAGCTCTCATTCTCTCGCTTTCTCACACACGCACAGTGTCGTATACACGCGGGTGTGTCGCCACATAGCCCACACCGCAGGACCACGGCACGAGGAGTAAACGCTCCCTCCCTGCATGAGGGCAAAAGAGAAAATATTTGGCGATCGATGCCGAACCTACCTCGCGCGCGCGCGCGCGCGGCAGCGCGCGAAGCGAAAATTCCAGCGGCGAGCAGTCCGGCGTGGCCTCTCGGGCGCGCCATAACACCGTGGACCCGGGACGGCCCTCCCATAGCAGCCCATAACATGTTATGGGCTGCTATGCCCAGAGAGCCATAACACCATAACAATAACTGCGCCTGGGGACAACCAGAGGTGTCCGTTTTATTTATTTTTTATCCCTCGCTCGCTCTTCGACTCCGTGTTCGCGCGCGCGGCACGCCACAGATACATGAGCAGTTTGGGAGATTACATCTAGACGAGAAGCGGCCGGTGTGTCAATGGCAGCACCCGTGCCCATCTCCGCCTGGCGCCTGCGGCCTGGCGGGCTTGGACCTCCTCCGGCTCCTCGGCTTGGGCTTGGGGTCCGCCGCCTGCGCGGTGGCGAGGAGGGGTGAGGGACGCCCACTCTAGCTGCGAGGAAGCGGTGTGGGCGGATCGTGCGAAGAGGAAGGGAGGCCTCGCCTTCGAGCTGCGGAGGGCGGCGAGGCCGAGGGCGGCGAGCAGCGCGACGGCAAAGAGCTCGGGCTGAGGTGCCAACCCCGGGCAGCCGAAGAGCAGGCAACCACAGCCGGCCAGCACGGCAAGCTGCGGCAGGCGGGAGAGGAGAGGGGTGGGACGGCGCACCGAGAGAGGCGGAGCAAAGATCACGTCGTATGTCGCAATCTACTGTCTGGCAGCCTCAGCGCCGGGGAGGAGCACCGCCGAGGCTGAGCCGGAGGTGATCAGCGAGGCGCCGATCAGTGGCAGGTTGGGCGAGGGCCGTCCCGCGAGCTGCTGGACGGTGGAGTTAGTGTCCAGAAGCCGATCAAATTTTCGCGCGGTCTTTGCATACGCCGAGCTCAGCGTGCGCCTCGGGGGCTTTGAGCTCACGTACTCGAGCGGCGTCAGTAGCGACCGAGCCGTGACGTTGATGGCCGAGCTTTCGACAATCGGGCCAGCCCAGCGAACGGCGGCGCCGATCGCCAGCGTCAGCGGCACAAGTTTTTCCCTGCGCGGCCTGACCATGAAGGGCTGCTGGTGCAGCAGGACGGCCACGCTGATGAGCGAGAGGACCTGTCGGAGGACGCGCATGTGGCTATTCAACCGTTTGTATGCGGCGAACAAGGAGAGGATGCACTCCGCCTTTTCTGGTTTCACTGCCCACGACAGCCTCGCCTCGCCTTTCCAGCTCGCGCGGCGTATTTATTTGATCTCGGGCTCGATGGAGACCTTGTTACCAGCCATCTATCTAGACCGGACGCGGAACCATCCACATCATCACTGGCTCGCGGCAGTAAGGGCACTCTCGCATCAGCTCCGAGCACGGCCCACAAGCACACAGGTGCCCGCACGGAACCGCAGCATGCGACTTGACTCTCGCGAAACACACGATACACGTGGTCTCTCCCCCCATCGTGGACTCGGGGGCAGCCGGCCGCCCCGTGTCGAGGCCGGCGTCCGCGAGTGAGACGGCAGCAAGCGGCTCGGTGACCGGCAGATGCTGCTCCGCCGCCTCTCCCGCCTCTGGCCCGATCAAGCGCTCGATGGCGCCGACCCGCTCCTCGAGGCTGCCCTCGGTCGCCGCGCCGAGGCTCGCCTCCAGCCGCTCGACACGCCGCACCAAGTCCCCGCCGCCGCCGGTCGACTCGCTGCTCACCGCCTCCTCGCACCGCGACACCCGACGCACCAGTGCCTCCTCCGCATCCACCTCTGACCGGCGCAGCGCCTCTGCCAGCTCCGCATCCTCGCGCAGCGCCGCCTGCTCTGCCGCATCCGCTAGCTCTGCCGCCTCGCGCTCCGCCCGCCTCACTGCCTCCTGCTCAGAAGCCAGCTGCGCCGCCCTCTCCTCCTGTGCGCGAAGCTCTGCCGCAGCCCGCGCCGGCATATTTTTTTGATATTTCTTTTTCCCATGGCAGACCTTTGCCCAGAATGGGCACGCACGGACAAAGTTAGCCCGGTAGCCTCCCAAGGCAAGCAACACAGATGGTAGCACATGAGTGCCCGCCGCCCGCTCGCGTCCTTGCGCTGCTGATCGATCGGGACGGCGAGGTCGGCCTCGGTCTCTGAGTCCGTGTCGATGTCGCGCTGGCAGCAGCTCATGAGATGACTGACAGGACGCGTGCACGGGCTGAGGGCTGCCGACGGAACACGCCCACGGACACGTGTCGTTCTCGCCAGGAGGGGGCGAAGCGAACCAGTTTAGACCACTTAGACCACTTGAGCACTTGAGCACTGGATGGGTCGATTCCGCATGGTACGGGACCCCTCGATCGTCTCGCCCTCCCTCACTGGTGTGTTCATCGGGGGGGGGGTCATAACAAACACGGTACAGGATCGAGGTGCACGCTGCCGATTTAGACCACTGCTAAACACGAACCAGATTAGTCCTGTTTACGATAAACTGTGGGTCTAAACCTGGTATGTGTAATGCCCCCCCCCCCCGCAGGGGGCACCTCCCCCCCCCCCCCAGCTCCCCTCTCTGTGACGAGAGAGACGCGGCTCTCAGCGGCACGCGCAAGCGTCAGCGTCCGTGCCTCTTTTCGCGCTGGTCGAGGTTGTGCATGGCAATCTTGACCGTCTCGAGGGACGAGGGTCCATGCGGCCGCGGCGAGGGACTCTTCCGACAGCTTCGCACCGTGTCGAAGATCTTGCAGAAGCCGCCGCGCGTCCCCTCATCTTTCGCGCGGTACGTCGGGAGTGAGGCCAGGAACAGCGCCTGGAAGCATTTGGTGAGGGGCAGTGAGTACCACTGCTCGACCCAACACCACTTCTACTAGCGAGCGCACCTTTGCGACCGGCTGCTGATGCACTTCGACGACGGCATGGACGAGATCATCACGCTGCCCGACGACACCGTGCGCCTGACCGGCGAGGCTGTTGTTGCGCGGTGCAAGTGTGCCCGGTGTGCTGTCCGGCCCGAGGCAGAGGATGGCGGCTGTACGCTGCCGCTTCCGCAGCCAGCGCGGCCGCGGCGGCGGAGCTAGCCCAGGGGCGCCCTAAACCGGGTCTACACCTGGTATGTCTAATGAGCCCCCCCCACCCAGGCCGACCCCTGTTTAGACCCAGTTTATCGTAAACAGGACTAATCTGGTTCATGTTCAGCGGTGGTCTAAACTGGGTCTAAACATGGTCTAAACTGGTTCGCCGTCGCACCTGCCCGCACGCCGTTGTATTTTTCAGTGTATGTGTTTTTACTGGGAGAAAAGAGAGGGGGGGTTGTGATGTGGCTCTTACGTACATTCCCGTAGGAGGACTCTGCTGACAGGGTTTGCGATGAGGAGCGACCCGGAGGGTTTCTCGGAGGTTAGTGCACCACTAACCGCCGAAGCGCAAGCGCTTGGAGCAAGAGAACTGCGACGGATCGGTCTCATACTAGCACCCCACCTCGCGAGCCGAGGTTTTTCCTTATGCACCGAACTTCTTTTTTTCGTTTTTGCTCGTTTTCATGTCGGGCAAGCACTGGCGCGCCTGACGCGCCCGCGGCGCGCCGTGACCCTGCAGCCCGTCCCGACCCAATCGCCCGTGCGCAGGGCCCGGTACATCACCAAGGCGAGGCTCGACTTCAACCCATTCTCGTCGGGATCGACGCTCGGCTTCCTCGCAGAGCTCAAGGCGAAGAGCGTCAGGGAGGCGGTGCCGAAGATGGAGGTGACCATCAACCGCGTGACGGACGCCGCTGCTCCTCCGCGCCTGATGCTGACTTTTGTCGACGGCCGGGAGACGCCAGTCGACCTGGGGAAACTGAGCGTAAAGGACACATTTGCGCAGATAGAGCTGGAGACTGGGAGGCTGGACCTAGAAGCCATGCGTCGCGGGAAGCCCTGGCTATAGTATAGCGTAGGTTGTGTGTCTCCGGACTACTACGGGGCTCCAGTGACTCCGCCCACTCGTGTGCGCTTGGTATGAGGTGTCTAGCTAGTAACGCCGCGCTCTCGTCGTCACTGGCTCACTCGCGCCGTTGTGCACAGTGTGCACTCTACTGGATCGACGGCTGCAGCTCGCGCAGGGACCACCGACGCTGTCCCCCAGGCTGCAGGGACCAGCCGTGCGGGCGTCGGCCTCGCGCGTCGCGGCAGTCATGGAAATCTCTCTATTGAGTCTTCTAAGACGCAGTGAAACCACCCCGGGGCCAACCCGCTTCGGTTTCGTCGGTCATAGTGCACTATAACCCACGAAACCCGAATAAAAAAACGTGTACCCCCCTGGAGTGTATCTTGAGTGTTGCTATGGAGCGTCCGGTTCAACACGCGCTTGCGCGCTCGCGTCTGCTGGCGCCCAGAGAACATGTTGCACCACATGCTCCCGGCGGAGCCCAACTGCTTGCACTCGACAAGGCAGTGCATCCACTCGCGGGAGCTGAAGTCGAACTTCCACTCGATGCGGCTCGCGCCGGATTGTGAGCTCGGCGAGCGAGGTCGGAGAGCGACCTCAGTTGGCCCAAGCCGCACGACACTGAGGCAGAGCGGCCGTGCGCGTACGACGCCGTACGCACACGGCCACTCTGCACCGACCGCAGCGCTGCATTGCGACCGCAGAGGCTCAGCTCAGCCAGGGCAGGTCTCAGTCTCTAGTCCCGCCCTTGAGATCTCCCAAATCTTCGTCGAGACTTCAGCCACGAAATCTCAGTCTTCCCGTCGCTCGGTGTGAGTTTCTAGAGGAAGCGCGTGAGATCTCAAATGGCCAAGATTCCTAAATGCTTTTCGCTTTGGGAGTTTGAGAGACTATCACACAGAGCCCTCACACAGAATCACAGCGGGAGGAAAGCGGCGAGTCGCAATTCCAGGGGTCGTCGTGGCGGGCCACCCTGTCCAGAGAGGCATGGATGCCAATCTGGGGTCTTTCGACCGAGTCTATGAGCCCTGGCCGCCTCCCGGTTGTGGTAAGGTTGAGCAACCGAGCGTGGGACGGAGAGATGGTGCGGCGGGGTACGGACGGGTGTTCCAGGGGATCACGACACGCACCGACCCTTCACGAGCCGAAAGGCTGTGCCCGGGGAAGGCACAGTAATCCGGCACGCGTTGGGCGCCCCATTCCGTCCGTTTGGCGGCTAGGTAGGTCGGTCGGCTCAGTCAGGGCCCCGTCCGTCCACTTCCGTCTTCCCTCCCACCCACCCACTTGGCGCGTGATGGTTGATACATGCACATGCACACATGCAGAAAGGCGAAGAACACCCTGCTGGCTCGGACTGGACACCAACGCGGTATGGGTGGGTGGACGCGGGACAGAGAGACCACCGCGTATTTAACTCTTCACAGCAGCTCCGCGACTTCTCAAAGCGAACGCCGCTGGAGAACGGTTTGCGGACGGATGCGGGAGGTCTGCCACGACGGCGGGCCATGGCCGTGCCACAACGCGACGCGATGCGGAACCCACCTCGACTGCAGCAGCGTCCTACAGGTCCGCCGGCATCGCCTCTGCGCGGAGACCTTCGAGGAGGTTCTCGGTTACTTGCCGAGCGTATCCCTGAGAGGCATGACAGTAGCGGAGGGCTGCCCGGCCAGCTGCAATATGTGCGGAGCTGACGACCGCCACCACCACCACCCTGCACCACCCGGCGTACCGACACCACAGCCGCCGTCCCCGCCGCCGCCGTCGCCGCCACCGCCACCGCCATCGCCGTCGCCGCCTCCCTCTGCATCGCCTAAGGAGCTGAAGGATCCTAAGGAGGGTGCGATGTCGGCGAGAGCGGCCGAGATCGCGGCGCATAAGAACGCGGCCGCCGAGGCAGCGCGCCTCGTCGCCGAGGCGGTCGCGCAACGCCAGGCGACACGCTCCCAGGCGCCGCCCATCTATCCCCCCCTGCTCGTGGCCTTCAGGCCCCCCCGTTTCCCATCCCCCCATACGCTCGGCCCACTCTG